CTAAGATTTCTATCAGCTTTTTTTGATTGCGTCTCATCAAAGCATATTCACATAAGGTGAGCTTTTAAAAGAAGCGATTTTCCGCTCTTCTTGACTACACAAGACATGAAGAAATTAATGAAAAAAAGCGATGCCTGTCTGGCGCAGAGGCATCACAGTCTTATTCCTGCATAAATTCTCACAGGTCAACTCGAAAACAGTTCAGGGTCAAAATCTCATCTAGTCACCTAGATTAAAAACTAATTTCTCTAAAGTATATCCTATATTGAAGCTTTTTCATGCAAATAAATAGCCAGGGGGCTCATTTTTTCCTCCTCTATTAGTTGTGCATGTCATGAATTTGAACAGAACATTTTGTTCTGTACTCTAATTACATGCATTATAAGGAAAAATCTATTCCTTGCATACATATCATTAGGAGCAGTTCTGAAGCTCCTTTCCATCAGGGCACCCGTCATGGTGGCTCATCCTAATATTGACAGTTTAATCTTTTTGTTTCATACAAGATTAAAAGTCGTATGGCTGCCATTCCTCCATGGAGCAGGCGGCGAATCCAATTGGAGGCAATCCGTGTCTAAGTGCCATTTCTGTACTGAAAATGGACTGCAGCTTACAAAATATATTAGATAATTATCAGTCGTTATGGAAAAAATAATAAAAAAAACCCCTACGTTGATGAAAGAGTAAATAAGGCGATTTTTATTATTTTTTTTAAAAATGGGTTTTACTTACAGCTTTGCTGCAGCATATGCATTTGCGCTCTTACTTAGGTGCTGTGTAATATATTCATTTAAGCATAGTTGTTAGCAGTTTCAATTTCTTTTGCTTTATCTCATTATGGAAGGAGAGGGAGACTGACTGACCAGGTGGTCAGTGACTTCTGGAGCAATCAAAGTCGTCTTTTATCAAAGGTAAGCAATATCCCCTTGAAAGATGCTTTGAGTTTTAATAGACATTGCTAAATATTAGCCTTTTCCCCTTGTTTGTTTTCTGTTTAAAATGTGTCTGATTTGTTGTTACAGGAGAGATTTGGTTTAACAATCTGCCTTTGGAAGAACAGGCCTCAATTTCCAAAAGTGATTCCTAGTACTTCAGGTCATCGACTTCTGGCTGTTTGACGCAAGAGACTTTAAAAGGGTGTGATTTTCCCACCAACGCAATCTCAAAATCATTCCCTTCAACATATTGCAGAACGGGCGCCCCAAATCACTACTCACAGGAAACTCTGATGAGGGTAAAATCTTGACATCAGTTCAGACGGGATTCAGTCTGGAGAACATGCATCGTCTTAAGTGAATACGAGGAAGCCTCGTGAAGCCTGGAGGACGATTCCAGATTTGGCCGGGGAGTTATTGCTCTCGTGAGTATATCTGAATATGCTGTTGCCGCTGCCACTGTCTAATCCAACGCATAGTTGGATCGTTTCTGAAACTTTAAAAATATGCTGCTGCGAGAACGTAAAAGTAAAATGTGACTATACGAGCATTTAATGTTGAGACTCTACTGTGATGGGAACTCGCAGGTGAAGGGTTTTTTGGTATCGTTCAAGCTTATTTTTTTAATATCCACGAGCTTTCATTTTACTTAACAAAACAGTGTTCCTGAAGCTGGGCGAAACCCTGAGCTGAACTATGCAGAGGGGGTTAGTCATTGCTGCAGCCTCAGACTCTGTCGATACCTAGGTATTGAATACGCCTCTGAGAACAATTCGTAATACTAATAATAGCTAGGCCGTACATCATTCTTTTGGTTGATAGACCTCAAGAGTTTCACGAATGATTTAAGAATCGTTGTTTCTAATTTACATATGGAAAAAGCAAAGCACAGAGAGGGGGAAGGTGACTTTTCTGTGCAGTATTGGCAGAGGGGGCTAGCACAAATAGCGGGAGCTTGGGTTGTTAAGGAGTCTCACTGCTGCAACCCACAGGTGTCTGTGCTTGGGGAGTGTTACACGGTTTGCTGCCTGAACAAAGTAATGGTAAAATATCCCATCAGTTTTTAAACAGGGCGGTGGTTAGTAAGGATCTGACCCAGCCTAAGTTTTAGTTGGGGGAAAAAACTTTCATTTTCCCATTTTCCACTGCAAACATCTGGCTGTTAGAGGAAACATTGCAGCTGCTGTTGTCTTCCACTTGGCGAAAGCAGCCGGAAATGGGCTGTTCACATATTACCCTCACCTGGGAGTGGCTATTATCGAAGCAGGATCATTTCTGTTCCTTAGCAGAACGGCAGCCCTTGAGTAAATGCATTGTGATTGCATAACTACGGGACGAGCGGGCCATTTCAAAGGAAAGGCCCTTTCTGACATTGTTTTCAGATTGACAGAACGCAGCCATGAAGGGCAAATATTGGTTTCTTTTAAAAAAGTGAAAGACTTTATTATTACCGCGTGGGCTCTGCCATCAAGGGAATAGCTCCTTAGCATTTGATTTTGAACTGCTCCTCGCAGCTATTTTGAGTTTTATTGCAGGCAACGCATTCTTCACTCACAGGATAATTTGGTTATAAGCTCCATAAATATTTGCCTCAACATCACAAGGTAATATTTAATTGCTTCTCTGAGCTTGGAATCCTAAAGCCTGGACCACCTTCTTCTTAGCCGATATTTTCAGTGGTACTGGTGATTGGGGAGCCTCAATTTTTGGGCATACAGCCTGAGGCACCTTAAAGGAACCAGACTTTAAGAACATTTTGTTACGTCTCCTCCTCCACAGAAAAGCAAGCCAACTGTTTTCCTCATGTCCGGTTGTTTTTAACATGACCCCCTAGTTGACAGTAGCGTGATATCACAATCACAAACACAACCCCCTAGTTGATGGTAGTGTGATGTCACAATCTCACAATCACAAGCATGACCCCCGACGCCAGTTGATGGTAGTGTGATATCACAGTCATAAACATGACCCCCTAATTGATGGTAGTATGATATCACAATCACAAACACGACCTCCTAATCGACGGTAGTGTGATATCACAAACTTTAACTCAAGGCAGTCCATCTAGAACCAGAAAAGACCAGGCAGCATCTTCTTCACTGGCCCACCCTGAAAACCAGATGGTTTGTGTGAGAGTCTTTCCTCACCTGAATAATGTATGTCAGCGATGAGTGCACTGATACATGGGCTCTCAAGAGATTTGATGTTCGCCTCACCGCCACGGGCCATCATTATTATTTACATAAATGTGTACGAGGAGACAATTCTTGTCTGGTGGCCGCCAAAAGAGCCTGGCTCTCTGTTGGGCCCACATCCAGTCAAGCACTTATGTATGTGTTTAAACTTGTGAGCACCTCATGCAGGCCAATGGCAGAGGCACTCATGGGCTTAAGTGCTCAACTGGATCCAAACCAAAGTGAGATTGATGAGTAATGTGGCCAAGAAAGAAAGGAGGAGTTTTACTTTGGCACACATGTTCCTTCTTACCCTCTTTTTTCTTTTCCCCCTATTTAGGGCCCAATCCTATCATTTGTTATGGTGGCTCGTCCTGTTTTGCTTGGTTCTATTCTACTGCACTTGTCCCGGTAGTATTATTTTGTCGTTTTGAGTTAAGCCTCAATATCTTTAAACATCTGGCTCAGAGCACCTTCGTATAGTCCCTGGAGCTAAATGGTGAACACCTGTTCTTTTTGTGTTCTCATCCTTTCCCCGTGTGCAAAATGTGCACTGAGCATTGTGTGCATTTGGGTTTGGACTTTTATGTACGTGTATATGTGCAGAGATATGGACCGTATCTGTATAGATTACCTATAGATGCATCGATGTATACCTGTATAGATGCACCGGGGGGTGTTCTCTCAGAGACGGCAGACAGCAATGCTTGCAGAAATTGCTGGTCACTGGGGCATCCAAGAGCACTCAACTTCCAGAATGAAGGATGACTCGCAGATGTGCCTGCAACCAAAGCAATTGCACTGTGGCTACAAACTCTTTCAAGGGCCTTCCTTTATCCACCAGCCTCACCTCTTCACCCCCTTGAAGTCTGTCTGGCTTCTTCCTACACTAGAAATTTCCCTAGCTGTAGCTTTGGACAAATGGCTTCTATCTTCACTTCACTGCTTTGTATTTTGGCTTTTTTTGAATAGCACTTAGATGTGCTTGGACCTCTGAATGGGTGATATGATAAATCTGATAAATCCAGATCTCTCTCTCACCCACACACACGCTCTCTTTCAAATGACAATATTTTCTCTTAAGATCATAGGAGCAATTAATATCAGCAAATGGGTTCCTTTTAGTAGTATTGGTGAAGGCAAGCAGCCAAAACTGAGATGAAATCACTTGAAAATAGCAACCCTGGAGAAAGTCTTACTGGTGGCTTTAAAGGGCAAATCCTTTCTTCTCTGATGTAGGCTCCATAACTTGTTGCCAGGAGTAAAATCGGTGTCTATCGTGTCTCCACCTCTGTTGCCTACCCATGATTGTTGTCCCAAATTGAACGAGATAATATCCCTGTAAGCCTTCTGTTTGCAAAGCTCTGGTATTCAGCCTATGCTGTGCTGTCTTGATAAGGAGCAAATGTCAAAAGCCTGCTTCATCCAGGGGAGGATTCAAACTCACGTAGGGAGATGACGACTCCAGTCTTTAGTATTCCCTTTAATGGATTCTGTCTCTCTGAAAGCTTCTCCAGCCCCTCCGAAGTGTAAGGAAGAGGAAAAAGATTAATTCAGAAGCAGGCTTGGTGTTTTCTTAAATTGAAGGCCCAGGTGTTTTAGTGTTATGTGTGTATCACTGCACATTAAATTATGTATATAATTTATACCTGCAATTTCTGTAGTTTCTGCGTAGAAAAGGCCATTTTGGACATCCAGCTGGCCTCAGATGTACCA